CCCACGCGCGGCCCGGCCGCCCGGCGCCCCCCATGGCCGCCGCGCCCCGGGCCCCGGCCTCCTGCCCCCCCGGCCCCGCCCCGCCCCCCCTCTCCCCCCCCCCCCCGCGCGGGCCCGGCGCCCGGGCGTCGGAGGCTGAGCCGCAGCCGGGGATTGGCGGGGCCCGAGCCCCGGCCTGATCCGGCCCGGGCCCTAAGGGGCCGGGCCTGGCCGCCGCCCGAGACCCCCCTCACCTGTGACCCCGCCCCAGGGGGCTCCAGGTAAGAGGCGAGCCCGCGCTGTCCATGGTCTGAGCGTGCCGACAGTGCCGTCCTCTTTGTGGTCTGTGCCTCTGTCTCTCCGAGTGTCTCTGTCTCTGTGGCTCCGGCCCGGTCTCTGGGGGTGTCTGTGTCTTTGTGGCTCTGTCCCTCCGTCTCTGCCCTCCGTGACTGTAGCCCTGTCTCCGGGAGTCCCCAAAACTCTGCCTCTCTAGCTCTGACCCTGTATCTGTGTGTCTCTCTGTCTTCCTGGCTCTGTCTCTCTGACTGCTTCTCTGTGGCTCCAGCCCTATGTCTTTGGGTGTCTCGGTAGCTCTGGCCCTATCTTTCTTTTCCTTTATCTGTGACTGTGACTCCGGTCCTATCTCTGTAGCTCTGGCCCTATCTTTCGGTGTCTCTGTCTCTGTTTCTGTGACTCCGGCCCTATCTCTCTGTCTCTGTCTCTCTCTTTGACTTTGGACCTATCTCTGCATGTCTCTGTATCTGCGGCCCTATGTCTCTCTCTTTCTCTGGCCCTCTCTGTGGCTCTGGCCCTGTGTGTTTCTATGGCCTTAGTTTTTTTCCTATGTATTTCTATGTGGTGCACTCCCCGCCCCCCCGCCCCATCCCTCTGTGTGTCTCTATTTCGCTCTGTGTCTATCTCTGTGTGTCTCTCCATGTATCTCTGCCCCCATCCCGTGTCTCTCCACATATCTCTGAACCCCCCTCTGCGTCTCTGCATGTATCTCTGCCCCCAAGCCCGGTCTCTGGCCCACTCTGTGCCAGCTGCCCTGACCCTGGGCCCACACCTCTCTCCCCAGGGCTCCTGGACGCCAGCCTCTGTGTCTGTGGAGTGAGGATGCTGGGTTTGCCACTTCTGTGCCTGCTGGCTCTCAGCCCCCCACGGCTGGGGGCAGCCAGCGCGGTTGGACCAGCATCAGTGCCGGATGGGTCTGTTTCGGGGCCTTGCCCCCGACGCTGCCGATGCCAGACCTCCGCACCACCCCGGAGCGTGCTGTGCCCGGGGGCTGGCCTGCTCTTCGTGCCTCCGGGGCTGGACCGCAGGGCCTCTGAGCTTCGCCTCCCTGACAACTTCATTGCTTCGGTTAGGCGCCGTGACCTCGCCAACATGACGGGCCTGCTGCACCTCAGCCTCAGTCGCAACACGCTGGCCCACATTGCACCAGGGGCCTTTGCTGACTTGCGCGCCCTGCGTGCCCTGCATCTGGATGGCAACCGGCTGTCCTCTTTGGGCGCAGCCCAGCTTCGGGGACTGGTCAGCCTGCGCCATCTCATCCTGGCCAACAATCAGCTGGGTGTCCTGGCAGCAGGAGCCCTTGCTGATTGTGCTGAGACCCTGGAGGACCTGGACCTCAGCTACAACAACCTGGAGGCATTGCCCTGGGACGCCGTGGCCCGCTTGGCCAACGTGAACACCCTGGGCCTGGACCATAACCTGCTGGCGGCTGTCCCTGCAGGGGCCTTTGCTGGGCTGCACAAGCTGGCCAGGCTGGACATGACGGCTAACCGTCTCACCACCATTCCGCCAGACCCACTTTTTTCCCGCCTTCCCGTGCTGTCCCGGCCCAGACCGGGCGCACCAGCCTCTGCCCTGGTACTAGCCTTCGGGGGGAACCCACTCCACTGCAACTGTGAGCTGGTGTGGCTGAGGAGGCTGGCCCGGGAGGATGACCTAGAAGCCTGTGCCTCACCCCCAGCCCTGGGAGGCCGCTCCTTCTGGGCCGTGCGGGAGGATGAGTTTGTGTGTGAGCCTCCGGTGGTCACCCACCGATCCCCACCAGTAGCCGTACCTGAGGGCCGCACGGCCTCCCTGCGCTGTCGGGCTGCTGGGGATCCTGAACCCAGGGTACGCTGGGTGTCCCCCCGAGGCCGGCTTCTGGGGAACTCCAGTCGCACTCGGGCCTTTCCCAACGGAACGCTGGAGCTGCTGGCAGCCACACCTGGTGATGGCGGTGTCTTCACCTGCATCGCAGCCAATGCTGCCGGGGAAGCCACCGCCTCTGTGGAGCTAACGGTGGGGCCACCCCCACCCCAGCTGGCCAACAGTACCAGCTGTGAGCCCCGAGGGGAAGGAGACGATGGAGAAGGTGGGGTCCCTCTCACCCCCTCTTCTTCATCTGCCTCCTCATCCTTGGCCCCCATAGATCCCCGGGCTGGGCTCCCACAGACCCCCGAACATGATGGTGATAGTGATGGGGGCAGCGTCCAAGTGGCCGAGCGCAGCGCCACTGCCGCCCTCATCCGCTGGCCGGACCATGGGCCCGTCCCTGGCCTCCGCATGTACCAGATCCAGTACAACAGTTCTGCTGATGACATCCTCGTCTACAGGTGAGTGAAGATGAGTTGTGAGGGAGCTCGAGACATGTTGGGTAGTGGATAGGACTCCAGAGGTGAAGTCAGGAGGATCCAAGGTCAAACCTGCCTCCAATATTTGCTACCTGTGTGACCCTGAGCAAGTCCCTTAACGTCCCTGGACCTCAGTTTCCTCATCTGTAAAATGGGAGGATTGGCCTCTCTAAGGCCCCTTCCAGCCTTCAATCTATGATTGGGTGAAGGTGAAACTGGAAAGCGGAGGTAGGAGGAAATTGGAGGATGGACCTAAGAGGAAAACTGGGAAGTTGGCTAAAAATGGACTGGGTGGCAGAGGAGAAAGGAAATGGGGTGTCTGAGACAAAAGGAAGGGGATCCCCTTTCCTAAAAGCGAGGCTGAGCTGGGGGGGATGGGGAGACGTGTGTCTGGAAGACAGAGGAGGAGGGGAGGTCAGCTGGGAGGCATAAGAGGAGGGGGAGGAGAGCGGAGGAATTTGATTCAATTCCAGCCTTTCCCAAGTGCCCACTCAGTGCCAGGCGCTGGGCCGGGCACAGGGAATAGAGATGAGGAGACAGTCCCCAGCCATGCTGGACCTGAAGCCAAGCTCAGTTCTGTTCTTGCCTGCAGGATGGTCCCCGCTGGCAGCCGCTCCTTCCACCTGACAGACTTGGTGTCAGGGCGCACCTATGACCTCTGCGTGCTGGCAGTGTCTGAGGATGGGGCCACCGGGCTGACAGCCACACGGGCTGTGGGCTGTGCCCGCTTTTCTACGGAGCCTGAGCTGCGGCCATGCCGCTCACCCCACTCAGCAGCTCCTGTCCTGGGGGGCACCATGATCATCGCTCTGGGGGGCGTTATTGTTGCTTCCGTGCTGGGCTTCATTTTCCTTCTGCTGCTCCGATACAAGGTGCATGGTGACCAGCCTCCAGGGAAGCCTGCGGCTCGGGGAGGAGTCAGCAGCGTCTGCTCCCAGACCAACGGGGGGGCCCCAGCCCCTGGGCCTGAGAGCTCAGCTTCAGACTCGGACCCTACACCTCCAACACCAGTCAAGGGGCACACCTTGGTACAACTGGACTTTGAGCCTTCAAGGGGGCCTAGGGGCAGGCTTGCTCATGAACGTGGAGGGCAGTGATCCTGAGGAAAGTCCCTCAGACATCCCTAGCCCTGGACTGCTCCCTAAAATATCTCCAGCCTCAGCCTTGCACCACCTTGGCCCCTTGGATGCCCTGAGACCTGGCCTTGGTCCTGGGATGTTCCTTGGCCTCACAGGCACCCTTAGCCCTGGCCCCAGGGAAGGACATGGACCGAGTAAACCCCAGGGGCTGTGGCAGGGCCAGGGATGGGCATGGGGGGAGCCCATGCTTGGATGCTGGCCCACCTTGCAGCTCCTGCCCAACCTCCTATTTTTAATAATCCAGGGGGGACTTCATGGGAAAGTGGGGACATTATGGAGATTATGTCAAGAGAAACCTATTTTTCTAAGCTCTGGCCTCATTCATTCCCTTATCTGTCTGTCTGTCTATTTTGCCATCCATCTGCCTGGGGTGGGGCCTTTGCAGGGGAGAAGATAAATGGAGTAATCATCACCCTCACACATACCCTTGGCCCTATTCAGAAAATCTCCCTCAAGACTAGAGCAAGTCCTGCCATGCCTGGGGTCCCTGAGCCGGCCCCTGGAGCTGAGAAGGTCTAGGACCTCAGGGTCCAGGGTATGTGTGACTGTGGATTCACCAGGAACCAGAGGCCAGGAGTTGTCGCGGTCTGGAGCTTTGCAGCTTAGGGGCTACACTTGGAATTCATTGTTTGCTTCTTGAGTTCGGCCAGGGCCCTGACCAGAACCTGGTCAGAGCAGGTCAGACAGTGCGACTGGCCCAGGATGGCATCCTTCTGATAGCGCAGGCCCGGTTTGGCTAGACTGGGGGGTACTTCATTCCCTGACCTGAGCAGGTCAGCCTGGCTAGGTTTGACAGAATCCCCACATGTCAGAGCTAGAAGAAGCTTAGAGACTTGGCCAAATCTCTCATTTTACCCATGAAGAAACTGAGGCCTAGAGTGGGCAAGGGAGCTGCCCATGGTCACACACTGAGCTGTGGCACAGTTGAGGCTGTCACCTAGTACTCAACACCATCTCTGGCATTCACAGTTGCCCGACTCTTCTGCCTTGGAACAACCTTGGAGCCTGACCTGGGTGGCCTAAGGAGAATGTTCTCATCTTTAGTCCAGTCCTGCCCTTCTCTCCAGGGTGGTTCACATTCCTTCTCTAGGCCTCAGTGTCCTCACATATAAAATGAAGAGGTCGGACTTAGTGACTTCCCAGGCGCCTTCCACCTCTAGCTCCGTGATACCATGCCAGTCGCCCAGTAGATGAAGCCTCGGACGGGGTCAGGGCCCAAGCACCAGGCTGCAGAGATCAGTGCCTGTGGCCTGAAGCAGGCACCTGAACTGGGACGGGGCAGTGGGTGGACTGGAGGGGCAGACCTTCCAGGCTGAGAGGCCACCCCGGGGAGAGGGGGATTCCAAAGGTCATCTGCTCCAGTTTGCCTGGAGTGTAGAATGTATAAGGGTCAGAGGGATGGCTCTAAATTGCAGATGGCCTTGAATGTTAGCCAGAAAAGTCTGGGCTCGGTCTTCTGTATTTCAGGGGTTGTTTTTGAGCTGGGGAGACATGGGAGATTTGAAGATCACCAGTTTAGAACTAGAAGGGGCCTTAGATGCCATCTGGTCCAACCCTCTCGTTTTACAGATGAAGAAATTGAGGCCAAGAAAAGTTTCAAGGACTTACCCAGAGTCTGAGGTGGGAGTTGAAGCCAGATCTTCCTGACTCTAGCTCCTGTCCCCTAACCCCTGTTTTACACCAACACTCCATGGTGACACCAGGTCCTGTGGTCCTCTATGAAGGGTGGGTAAGAGGCTGGTTTTCCTACAGTCACTAAGGATTTTCTGGGTCCCCAAACTGGCCAGAGCAGAGGACAGGCTGGGCAAGTGTCATTATCATCCCACTGGTCATGTGCGGTTTCTTATGGCCAAGAGAAAGGCCAATTTATCAGCAATGATGGATTCGGGTCATTACCCCAAGGAACACTCAGTTCCAGGACTCCCCAGTTATCCAGCTGTGGTCCACAGCTTCTTCTGGAAGCTTGTTCCAAAAACTGATGTGCTCAGTGTCCTCAGGGAGATGGGAGCCAAGCATGCTCAAGCCAGAGGTAGTTTCACTCCCTTCTTCGTAGGGGAAAGGGAGGGATGGAGTGTGGTCCCTTGGCCCCCACCAGGAGAGGGAGGAAAGGCTGTGTGGGATGGGTAGCATACTACTAGGCCAAGATGGGACAGTGAGAGGAGTGGAGGGACAGGCATTGCAGGCTAAGGGGCCAGTAGGAGTCAAGGCAGGGAAAGGTGGGGTGACTTTGGTGGACAATGGCTTCATTTTGACTGCCATGCTAAGTGCACAGCGGAGAACAGGGAGAGACCATGTTGTATCCAGATTGGAGAGGGCTTTGGACACCAGATGAGTCTGGACTCGGTCCCTTTGGTTCCAAGGTATGTTTTCTGAGCTGTGGAGATGCTCGAGCCACCGTGTATAAGTCGAATAGTGGGATTGAAGCCCAACCCCCGACCCTGAAATCCAGTAGGGTGGCTTGGAAAGGGCACCAAACTTGGAACCAGGCAGACCTGGGTTCAGATCTTGCCTCTGACCCTTTAGCTGAATAACTGGATACATGTTCTACAGCCTCTCTGTGCTGGAGGTTCCCTATTTGTCAAACGAGGGTTCTGAGCTTGACCTCTTCCAGCTCCAAATCTGTGAGCCTACAAAATCCCACCAATTAGATTCACAAGGTCCCAGGCAATTCAATAGGACAGAGCTAGCTAGGTGTTGGTTCATTCAGAAGCTGAGCCGAGGCCATGGGACAAACCCGAATCCAGCCCATTCCACAAGCTCTGTAGGAGCCCCTCCCGCCTTTGCTTTGGTACCTCACTGCATGGAGAGATCCCTCCCTTCAACCTGACTTAGAAACATCAAAGGTCATTTCTTAGAAACTTTTTATACCTTTGTCTTCCCTATTGGTTCAACTTTTGATTAATGAATCAATCATTTATTAAGTGCCTACTACTAGGCATTGTGCCGGATGCTAGAGATAAATGTGAAAGAATGCCTGCCCTCAAGGAGCTTACATTCTAGTGGCAAAGATGGAGAAGGGAAGAAGTTTCTGCTTCTCTCCTCCTCTCTTCCTCAGTTGCAAGCAGACCCTTTCCTATTCCTCCCCTCCCCCATAGGGCCCTGGGGAGACACACATGGCTAAGACCCACCTTGGGCCACTGGAGACTGCCCATGTGCAGAGAGGCAAAACATTTCTCCCTGCAAAGAGAAATAGAGTACTGGAGGAGCAGAGTGGAATACAGCTTTGTTGTTGCTCAGGCATTTTTCAGTTCCGTCCAACTGCCCGTGACCCCGTGACAAAACTTTGGGATTTTCTTGGCAGAGATACTGGAGAAGTTTGTCATTTCCTTCTGCAGTGAGGTAAACAGGGGTGACCCAGCTCATAAGTGTCTGAAGCCAGATTTGAGCTCAGAAAGATGAGTCTTCCTGACTCCTGGCCTGGTATGTTATCCACTTTGATTCCTAGCTGCCCGAGGAGTACAACTAGGGTGGGGCTAATTGGGGAGGGTCCCTGAGAGGAAGAGGGTGCTACCTCATATCTCCAACCCCCAGTCCCCTTACATTATCTCCTGTTACTTCACACTGTCCTTCGTGTCTCCCCGTGTTTCTAAACTACCCCCCAGCCCTTGCCCATTGTGCCTGTATTCCCCGTCCTCGGATTTTCACCTGTCTCCCTTTCTGTCTTTGTCTCTCTTGCCTTTCCACCCCACCTCTCTCTTTCTCCCTGTGATTCCAGTCTCTGCCTGTCCCTCTCTCTACCCTCTCCGCACCCAATTTCTATCCCAATCTCTCTCTTGCTTGTCTCTCGGATGCTTTACTTATGACACCCCTCCCTAAGATCCCCGTGTTCCTCTCACTAACCCTGGAGTCCTTCCCTTACTGCCCAAAAGGTCCCCACCACACTATCCCCCATTTCCTGCCCATGCTGCCCCCAGAGTGTCTGTGCTGTGGCCTCTCAGGTCTCTCTCTGCTCCATCCCATTGTCCCTAACCTTGACACTGTCCTCCATATCCACTAGGTCTCCCCACGATGCCGCTTTGAGCTGTCCTGTCTCCCCACACTGTATCCACTCTGCTTTCAGCACACTCCCCTTACATTCTCCCCCACTGTTCTCATGCCCCTTGAACAATACACAGTCTTTCTTGTCCTTACACTATCACCTGTGCCCTGTGCCTTTCCACCCTTCCCAAGTCCCCACCATCATCTCCCATGTCACCTTCTCACTGTCCTCTACACTGTTCCTCTTATCCCCCCCCATTTCCCCTAAGGTCTTTCTACCAAAATACTGCTATGTCCCTACACATTATCTCCCTGCTACCTCAAACCTTTGTCCTCACCCCATGTCATGGTCCTCCCTCATTCCCCCATGTGCCCTAACTTTATGCGGGTCCTCCATACAGTTCCTCACAGCACCTTCCCCCAGACTATCCCTTCCATACACAGCTTATTGTGTCTGTCTGACCTTGTTGTCTCTCTCCAATGCTGTCGTCTCAATCTTTGTTCCTTATGTCTGTCCCTCTTTGGTCTCCAAACCACACTGTCCCTCATCATTTTGTTCCCCACACTGTCTTCACTCTGTCATCTACACTGTAGACTATTTCCCCCACAGTTCCCCATGTCACCCCATACCTCCTCATACCATTCTCTCCATGTTTACCCAGTTTGGGTCCCCTTCTACTCTCCCTCTCTGTTTTGTCTCCCATTTGTCTGTTCTCCCTGTGTCACCCTCACCATGGTCTTTTGTGGTTCTCTCCCCCCCATCTCTCCTTGTCCCTGGGCAAGTGACCAGGGCAGTGCACTCCTGGCTCCAGATTGGGGTGCGGCGTCTTTGTTCTCTGACTCAAGATGTTCTGGGATAAGGGGTAACGTCTAAGCCATTGTCCATGCTTGCCCCCCCTTCCTTCAAACTGGCATCCTGGGACAAAGTGTCCTCCCAAAGGCCTGCCAGGTCTCTGCCAGGACCCAGGCATCCGGTTCCTCATTATCCCCCACTCTTCTCAGGGATCCAGGCCTCCAGGTCCCAGCCCTTAGGTCCTTCCTGATTCTGGGTCTAGAAAGTTTCTACTCAGCCCACTCACTGTGCTGTTCCCTTTGCCTAAAAATTCTTATCCCCCACTCTCTCCTGGTCCTTAATCTCTCTCCCTCTCCCTCTCCCTCTCCCTCCCTCCCTCTCTCTCTCTCTCTCTCTCTCTCTCTCTCTCTCTCTCTCTCTCTC